AAAAAAAAAAAAAAAAAAAAAAAAAAAAAAAGAAAGTTGAATGCATATAGCCAACTCATGATTCCAGTACTCAAGAAGCACAGCAGAATGCAGAGCCTTGATGGCTGCTGCCCAGTTTTCACTGGACGCCTGGCTGACAGACACAGTATTAGGCTAGCCTGTTAGATGGACATGTAGTCCATCCACTTCTCTATATATGACAGATCTTATCCATGAATCAAGACACACACTCAGACTATATGATCTCAATCTCCAACAAAACCAATTTCACTGCACTGCTCAGAGCACTGTTCTCAGTATGTGAGAGACATTTATGAAACTGATGAAGTCATCTGCCTTAGAAATGTTGCTGGGGATTATTAGGCACCATGTCTTTATGTGTCCTTAACATGAAGACCTTTGTATGAAATTTCTTTCAGACTTAAATGCTGGAAAAAAGATTTTGCTTATTTTGAGAAACTATTCTGTTTCTTCTTATAGAATATGGAGAACAACTAACCACATACTGTTTCCTTTTTACCTTTGGCCTCTAGGAACCTCACAACAAATTCTGACTGTGTGAGGCTTTATAGCCTGCATATATGCAAGGTATGTTTTTTCCTTCTGGCCTTGACATTCTTTCTCAATTAATATTTTTGTCGATCCTGATTTTCACTTTACTTATTTCCTGTAAGCTAAGGCAAATTCTTTGTGTAAAGAGTGAGGAATAAACTAACACACTTTTGATTTGAACAACTAAAATTTGCATAGAACATTCCAACATACATCTGCATTATTAAAGGGTAAGTACAGATGATTAAAATCTCAATATTCTAACAAAAGAATTTCTAACAGCGATACTTCTTATCATCTAACACTAAATAATTAACTGACTTACATCACTATTAACATGCCCCAATAGATTACCTCTTTCCTTCCATGATCAACCTTTAAAATTGTCAGAATAGACTATACTGGAGAAAAAGGCCCTTTGTAATAGTTCTGTATTAGTATAATTAAAATATGTCTTTGACAATCTTTAGAATCAACAAATCTTCTCAAAACATTAATGGCTAGATATGTAATAAAAGAAGAGCTCACTGGTACATGGGTTTACATGCTATTCTCAAGAAAACAAAATTCAAATTCAAATAATTACAATCTCATTTACACCCGAGATACGTAAGTTAGATTTAGAAATGTCCATTTGGCTTTCTCTTCTATTCATCCTCCTCCCTCCCTTCCACATGACAAAGTTAGACATTTACTTACTTGTCAGATCATCTAATAACTGGCACCTCAAATCAAAATACTCTGTACACTGAGACAATAATCTGAAAAATAGACAGGTTTCAGTTACTAAAAAGAGGCTAATATGAAAATAAAAAGCATTTCCTTGTAAGAATAAGTTCATTAAACAATTGAGCAAGATCATTTTCCTAAGCATAAGGACTTTTATATTAATTCAAATTCTATATTTTAGCCAGAAGCACGTTAATGATTTTATTAATACGGATACAATATAGGAATAATAGTGTAAATAGAGGGTAACTTTAAAAATCTATCACATTTTAAACTTTTCAGATCTACTACATTTTAAAATAATATATGCATTGATTACGTATATAATGCAGTGATTACATTCATTCATTCAAATATCAATGAACACCTACTAAGTACCTACCAAATACCTGGACTTGTTTTATGGAAATAGTGAACAAAAGAACAAGGGAGGCAAGACAACAAAGTAAGAAGCAAACACATATGTTAAGTGGTGATAAGTGCTAAGAAGAAAAATAAAGCAGAGTAAGAGGAGAAAGAGGTAGAGAAATTATTTTACGTAGAATGATCAAGGAACCTTTTTCTGCAATTATAGTAGTTAACAGTACAGGTTTTGGAATTAGACAGAGATTGGTTTTAATCCTGGCTCCACTCCTTGCAGCTGGGTATCCATGGGCAACTTATTCTACTTTCAGTTTTCTAATTTCTAAAATGCTTATTACAGTATTAGAAATAAATATACATGCATATATACAAGCACACATAAAAGGCTCAAGCATGGACTAATGAAGAGAATATATAATGAACCAAAAATTTAAAAACTGGAACTAAAAAAATGGAGATAATAAAACTGCCAAACTCATTTGACTATTCTGAGGATGAAAAGATAAGTATATGTGAAGAATTTAGCATTATATGTGGCACATAGTTAAGCCCATGGTAACTGCTATTATCATCATCATTACTATTAAGGGAAAATATGTACCGAACTTGGGAATTAAAAAAGCTGGTGAGACATAATTTTCAAAATTATGCAAACACATAATTAAAGATTCAATTTTATGTGAAATTAGAGAGCTCTACATTCAACATGTTTTTTTTTTTTCCCTTTTTGAGACCGGCCGCACGCGCTCAGCCAGTGAGCGCTGTGAGCGCACCGGTCATCCCTATATAGGATCCGAACCCGTGGCGGGAGCGCTGCTGCGCTCCCAGCGCCGCACTCTCCCGAGTGCGCCACGGGCTTGGCCCAACATTCAACATATTTTTAAAAGAGAATCTTTGAGACTATATGTTATAAGTCTCATCTAATGCTTTCTGCTTCTTTCCCAAAGTTTAAAGAAATTTAATATTAAATCAAACTCTTAAAATTTAATTATATTAAATGAACTGACTCTTACAAAAAGGATATGTACATTTCTTAAAAAATGGCTTAAAGGGTCATAAAGAATAAGTATGACTTGTGACAATGAATAGGCCAATAAAAAAAATGGCTTAAACATTTCAACTAAAGAATCATTGGTCTTTCCAAAAAAAACCCCACCTGTTTAGGAAAACTTCAACTAGGAAAATTCTAAAGTACATAATGTACAAGGGCAAAAAAAGAAATTTCTATAGCTTTTAATTCAGATGTCTACTGGGAGAAAACCATTTTCTTTTTTTTTTTTCCTTTTTGTCTTTCTTCGTGTCCGGCAACGGATCACAACCCTCAGTGTCGCGCCCGTACCGGACCGGGACCGGCAACGGGACTGCAACCCTCGGTGTTGCGCCCGCACCTCGCTCAGCCAGTGAGCGGGAACCAGTCTGTATGTGGGATCCGAACCCTCGGCGGGAGCGCCACCGCGCTCCCAAGCGGCGCACTGTAGCAGTGCGCCACCGGGCCGGCCCAGAAAACCATTTTCTGAAATATGGTTTTATACCATTAAAGAATTATTTTTATTACCAGAAATACACAGCTAATGTCTAATTCAGGATAATCTTGATGGTAAACTATAACATAATCAGAAGTTTTGGCTAAGTTTTTAATATTTATAAGTCACCCACAATGCTCTTACCTCAGAAAACAAAATCCTGACTTCTTCCCTATTCATACATTTGGAATGTCAAAACAGAAGGTTAAATGTGTCAAAATATTATTTATGTTGAGGCTTAGATATATGGGCCCCAAATCTCCATATATTGGAAAGAGCATGAGAAAATAACAAATGTTGATACACATTTAATCCTGTAGTGAAGACTTGCAAAGAACAAATAAAATTATAACTCAGTTCAAAAAAATTCTGTAAATTATACATCTTCTGTCTAGAAAATACAGGTATTAAGAAAAGTCAAGGATACATGCTACAACATGGATGAACCTTGAACACATTATGCTAAGTGAAATAAGCCAGATGCAAAAGGACAAATGTGAATCCACTTATATGAGGTACCTGGAGTAGTCATGTTCACAGAGACAGAAAGTGGACTGGTGACTGCCAGGAGCTAGGGGAGGGGGAACAGGGATTTACTGCTCAATGGGTACACAGCCTCTGTGTGGGAGGATGAAAAGTTCTGTGAAATGAATAGTGGTGATGGCTGCAGAACAATGTGTATGTTCTTAGTGCCACTGAATTGTACACCTAAAAATGCTTAAAATGGCAAATTTTATGTTATGTATATTTTACCACAATAAAAAATAATTTAGCAAATCTAATAAAAATCTACATTTGTCTTTTAATTATCTCTTTATGTCCTTTGCCCATTTTTTAATTTGGCTATTGGTCTTTTGTTTAACAATTTATAATAGCTTTTTATATATATTCTCAAAATTAGCTTGCTGTCTCTCACATATGTTGTAGATCTATTTTCCCAGTATGCTGACTGACTTTTGACTTTAAGATACTCTTTTCCCACATAAAAAATTTTAATTTTTAACTTTTATGAAGTCCAACTTATCAGTCTTTTATTTAATGACTTTTTCATGGGTATCGAGTTTCAATTTAGGATGATAAAAAAGTTCTGGAGGTGGATAGAGGAGATAGTTGTACAACAATGTTAATATACTTAACGCCACTAAACTGTACACTTAAAGCTTGTAAAATGGTAAACTTTATATTATGTATATTTTACCACAGTAAAAAAAAAGTCCAGGCTTGGATGCTTATATGTTAGGGGTTTAGAGTAGCCCTAACACCTCTTCCCTTCCAAGGCTCTCATGTATAAAGCAGACACACAAGGAAAGTAGATATTGATCCCCACAGCAGGGGCTCTCTGATAAAGCTGAGTTGGAGAAAGTGGCATAAACTTGAGGTCAATGTGGGACATTCTGCCTCCTACAGAGGAACACATGTATGCAGGCTGCCTGTACAGACAAGATGGGGTAGGCAGAATGGACTTACATAAGTCACCCTATGAGCCTGGACCATAAGCCTTCTTACACACCGCAGGCATGTATAAAACTAAGAAGGCAAGCTAGGAGGATACCCTGGCTACCTCCAGGCAGGGAGCTATGAAATATTTGAGCCAAGAAAGCAATGCACAGAGGACAGGAGCAGTGAGACCTTTACAAAGTGACCTGAAGCAAATAACTTCAGGCTGCCACCGACCAGGTAAGCTCCTCTTTCTCTCTGGGGTAGGTGAACCAGGTGGGGTGGGGTGGGAGTTGGAGATGATGGAGGAGAAGAAAGCCTGGCAGTGTTTCCTCTAACTTTCCTGTCCTAAAGGGGAGAAAACACAAATGCTCTCTTTCAGGGTCCAAATGTTAGAAGAAAGGAGAAATTCTTTTGTCATCTCAATAATGCACACTGGAGTTTAAGGGAACAGGACACAAATTACTATTTATCCTTCCTCTCTGTATAATGTGAACTTTTTCATCTTTTATTACATACCTCTGATTGACTCCTCTCATAATACTAGTTGGGGACCAGAGAGGAAGCTGAGCTGTGAGAATGACACCTAGGAGAAACTGATTTGCCTTCTGTACATCTGGATGAACTGAAGTGTCTGTCTGACTTAGAGTATACAGTTGATCACAGGCAACCCGGCGAATCTGAAATTACATGATTAATGGCAAAGGACATACATTTAGAGACTGCTTAAAAAGTGATTTTCCTCCAAAGTCCACACTATTTATTCATTCAAGTTACTGAAGGATACTATAAAAGTATGAGTGTTTTAATTTTTAATGGTAAAATTTCCACTGAATAAGCTAGGGTTAATTAAAAACAAGTGTGGGGCCGAGCCTGTGGCGCACTCGGGAGAGTGCGGCGCTGGGAGCGCAGGAGCGCTCCCGCTGCAGGTTCGGATCCTATATAGGGATGACCGGTGCACTCACAGCGCTCACTGGCTGAGCGTGGTGCAGCCGGTCTCAAAAAGAACAAAAAAAAAAAAAAAAGTGTGGTCTGGGAACTGACTCCCGCAGTTATTCTACTATTCTATTTCTATCAATAGCTTTATAACAATGTAAATAAAAATAAGAATAAACTCTTCCTCAAGTGTTTAAAAAGTTAACTCTCAAGGTCATGTAAAAAAATCAAAATTATAAAATCTAATCAAAGTTCAAGGCTTGAAGTTGGTCTTTCCTGATTTTGTCAAACATGTTGATGCTTCATGCCAGCTACCCTTGCAAGCTAAAAAAAGAAAAAAACAAAAAGAACAAAAAAAAAAAAAAAAAGTGTGGTCTGGGAACTGACTCCCGCAGTTATTCTACTATTCTATTTCTATCAATAGCTTTATAACAATGTAAATAAAAATAAGAATAAACTCTTCCTCAAGTGTTTAAAAAGTTAACTCTCAAGGTCATGTAAAAAAATCAAAATTATAAAATCTAATCAAAGTTCAAGGCTTGAAGTTGGTCTTTCCTGATTTTGTCAAACATGTTGATGCTTCATGCCAGCTACCCTTGCAAGCTATGGATGTTGAACACTGGCTGTAACATTTTGTTTGTTACAAACATAAATTAGATGTAACACTAGTGTCATAACTTTTGCTGGAATATGGAAGAAGTAGTAGAAGGGAGGACAGTATAGTCTAAATGGTCATTTTTCTTTTAGAGTGGTCTACGGCTACTCTGTATGACTCCCTAAGAGGACTAAATGGCAGTCCTGTACTTCTCAAAATGTCACAAGTGTCCAAGACAGCCCACAACAGAACAGGACCACAGGGGTTTTTGTAAGTAATGTAAAAAGTCCTTACTTCAGCACTTGGTGATCCAAGCAAAATATCGATGATAAAATCAGCAACACAGGGCAAGCTATAGAAAGATGCTAACAATAAAAATGAGGAGAATTAGGAGGGAAAGAAAAGAACTAAGTTAGGTAACACATTTTTAAAATTTTGAATAATTTCTTCAGCTCAACTTAAGTAGAAATTCATCTCTTCTTCTACATGGAATCAGAATTCAGGACCTTCTACAACTGCTTCCATGTCTGTCCATTTACCCCATGAGATCCTAAGGTGCTATAGAGCAAGGAACCATATCTCAGCCATCTTTGTACCCCACACTTTAGCACTATGCCTTGCACATACCAGCTACAGAATAAATACGTCTTGCTTTGATGAACTATCAAAACTTGTGAACCATAAGATATACTCCAAAATAAACTTATAAATGATAAAAGATAAAAGCTTAGATGGAAGCTATAATTTTTTCATCTTGATTTAAAAATATCTCTAAATAAAACAATTCTAGGAAAATCAAACAAGCATAGCATATGTTCAAAAGCCATTTCATAATGACATATATAAGCCTTCAAAAGCATTCTTGCCCAGGTTCCTCCAATGTTAAAAAATGATTAGTAACAGCCCCAGTTCACCAAAACCAACAGTAAAGATAAAAGGACAAATCTTAAGTTTCATAATTTTTAATACTAGAGTCATTATCAGGAATTGATATGTAATTCTAATTCTATAATTTATGAATCAGTAAATTTAGGGTGTTTTAATTCTTAAACTACACAGTAAGCTCCTGGAGGGCAGACATACTGTCCTGGTTATACCTACTATTGGACCTTGTATATAGAAGGTGCTCAATAAATACTTCTTCGGAATGAATTACTTGACACCATTCTCACCTAATCCACCTGCCAACTTTTTCCCCTTTTTCATTTCTATTAATAGGACCTTACTTAGGTAAGGTAATGTAAATAATTACCAACAGACGGCCCAGAAAATAATTTTTGATACTATTTTAACATTGCATAAATGTCTAACTTTTATATGTTTATGTTGATTATCTTGACCTCTGGTTTATACAATCAGTTTGGATGCTACACAAAATACATAATGATCACCAATTCTATGTATCAGGCAGTCTGAAATCAGTAATAACAGCTAAAAGTAAGGCTCCAATGTGATGGTACAATTTTTAAAAGTGGAGTGCTAAGACCTCATTCCTGAATATTTATTTATTGAGGGCCTACAACATATCGGGCAGTACTTGGGTGCTGGAGATTCAACAAGGAGAAAAATGGACAAAAGTCTCTGTCCTCATGGAGACTGCAATCTAGCTGGGGTGGGAAGGATGACAATAAAGATGATAAGTAAATTATATATTATAAAGTGATAAATGATATTTAAAAAGATAAGGGGACTGGATAGTGCTGGGGCAAGGAAAGGGCTGTAATTTTTTTTAAAAGGTGGTCAGGGAGCATCTCACCAAGAAGATGATATACAAGCAAAGACTTATAGGAGATGAGGAAAAGAGAGCCATATAGAGAGAAGGGGAAAGAATATACCAGATAGAGGAAACAACCAATGCAAGGGCATTGAGGCAGGAATGTGTCAAGGAGGCCAGGGTGGCTGAAGCACAGTAAGTGAGGGGGACAGCAGGAGAAGGTGAGGCTGAGAAATAACAAGGCGATGGATTATGTCAGGCCTCAAAGGCCTTAATGAAGACTGGGCTTTAACTCTGGGTGAACTGAGAAGCCACTGGAAGGTTTTGAGAGAGGAGGGACACAATTGGACATTTCAGAAGGTCCACTCCAGTTACTGAGTGGAACATAAACTGCAAGGCTAGAAGCAGGGAGGTGAATTAGGGCACTCCAGCTATACTCCAAGTAAGAAATGAAGGCAGATCAGAAGGGTGTAACAGGGAAGGTGGTACTAAGGGTAGAAGCTAGACAGAGTTTGAAGGAGGATGCACTGACAGATTAGAAAAGGTGAAAAAAAAGGAATCAAGGATGACTCCAAGGCTTTTGGCCAGAGCAACTGGAATAATGAAACCGCCTTTAACTAAGTTGGGAAAACTCTTGTGTAATATGGGTAAGATCAGGAGGTCAGTTCTGGACATGTTAAGTTTGGGATATCTATTTGATATCCAAGTGGTGATGCCAGGGGGGAGTGGTCCAGGCCATAGATCCAAATTTAGGTGTTGTCAGTGGTTGTTAGCATTCAAATGGACTTTAAGGCTGTGAACCTGGATGAGACCACCAAGATAATGAGTGCAGACGGACAAGAGATGATGAGGGACCGAGCCCTGTGTTCCTCCAATGTTAAAAAATGATTAGTAACAGCCCCAGTTCACCAAAACCAACAGTAAAGATAAAAGGACAAATCTTAAGTTTCATAATTTTTAATACTAGAGTCATTATCAGGAATTGATATGTAATTCTAATTCTATAATTTATGAATCAGTAAATTTAGGGTGTTTTAATTCTTAAACTACACAGTAAGCTCCTGGAGGGCAGACATACTGTCCTGGTTATACCTACTATTGGACCTTGTATATAGAAGGTGCTCAATAAATACTTCTTCGGAATGAATTACTTGACACCATTCTCACCTAATCCACTGGCCAACTTTTTCCCCTTTTTCATTTCTATTAATAGGACCTTACCGAAGGTGCTCAATAAATACTTCTTCGGAATGAATTACTTGACACCATTCTCACCTAATCCACCTGCCAACTTTTTCCCCTTTTTCATTTCTATTAATAGGACCTTACCTAGGTAAGGTAATGTAAATAATTACCAACAGAAATCTGGACTTCCCCTGAAAGAGATTAATCACAAACAAGCCTCCTGCATACCCAGTTGCTGGCTCCGAAGCTGTAGGCATGTAACAAGAAGAGACAAAGCCTCCCCGGCAATCAAAGAGTCTTTGGTGGATACAGACTGTTGTCGAACGCAGATTCCTGCATGCAGTGCTACTGGTTCTCCTTCACTTCCAGAGCTGCAATTGCTTCCTGAAAATAGGTAAGAAGTTTACTACGGATCCTACAGGAACTGTGCAGTATTACAATATTCTTTTAACACATGCTCCAGAATCCTCATGTGACATTAAATTCTCCAAGAAAGCACTTTGGTCTAAGAAATGAGAGAGATAATCATTGTATTTGAAACACCCTATCTGCTTTGTCCTTAAAACACATTTGCAGGCATTCAAAAAGTGTTCAAAAGGCAAAATTTCAGCTAATAGAAGAATGGTGCAATTATGGGTGCATGAGGGAGCCTCCCTGGGATATTAGAAATATTCCATATCTTGTAACTTGACCTAGATGGGTTACAGACAATAAAAATCCTATCTACTTAACATTTTTGTATTTTTCTGTATGTAATAATTTTAAAAACTTTTCTATTACTGAAGTATTTACTAACACATAGATTGAGCAGGAAAACCAAAGCCAAGAAAGACAGCTATATAAGAAAGGCCTAATAGAAAAAAACCTTCCAAAAAGAGAAAAGAACCATTCCACATTGCAATTCTAGATGAATCTGTATTACAGCCATAATTGTTGGCTTTGTGACACTTTTACACTCAGCTAATAACTGTTGGATTTGGTTTCCCTACCTACTTTGTGTTTATAAATGTTTTTTCTCCAAAATGAAGTATGACATACATACAATGATGTGCACAAATATTAAGTGTATAGCTGAGTGAATTTTTACTCGTGCTCAGAAGCAAACAGTTCTCTCTCCCTCTTGATTCTGATAAACCCACACACAGACGATTCTTCTAGCTTTTTCTTGCCCAGTGTTCTAATTCCTGTCCCTTTTAAATCAGTGTACCTGAACTGCTGAGTCTGTTTCGAATTCCAGCAGGAAACAGAGAATTACTTTCTTTGATCGGCTGGCTACTCCCAACAAGGTCAAGTCGTCCTGCAGCTGCAGCCCATGACAATCTCATGAAACAAGCCACAGTAGAGGTGAAATCACTTACTTCCATTGTCTAAAGAAGTGTGGAAAGAGTGTTATGAGGAAAGGCAGTACTTGAACACATTCCACATTCTACAACCTTCTTACTGGTTGCGGCATCCATAAGGACAGCTTTTTTTCACATTACCATACTGTTCAAAGACTTTCAATCTCTCTATTAACTGTAAAACAGAGACTCTGATCTCCATCCTCTAGCTATAAATTACTCTTAGCAATTTTGTTTTTACTGCTTCCCCTTTCCTACACACTACATTTTGGCCTATGTGAACCACCTTGTGACGTCCCATACTAGCTCAGTTTTGTCTCTAACTGGGCTCATGATCTTTTTTTTTGCTTGAACAGCTCTTCTCTCCTAACTCTCTAAAGACTTTTTTCTATATATGTAATCACTACCTATTCTGCAAGGTCTAGCTCAAATGCCACCTCCAAAACAAAAATCACCCATATAGCCACAGGTGAAGAAAACTATTCCACTTTGAAAATCCACGGAATGTTTTTCCTTTGTAGTCTGACACTACTTGATCCTTTCTACCTTGAATTATAGTTATTTCTGCATTACTGCTCTTTCTTACTCACTATAAATTCCTTGAAGGCAATATTCATGTCTTAATCATTTTTGTATCCACACAGCCTCTTCTCCCCAAACAGGGCCTTCTAAACAGGAGGTACTTAATATTTCTGAATACACGGATCACTTACTTGTATTGCAACTCGAGCAGCAGGAATGATTTCCTCAACCCTAATGGAAGACCTATCAGATACTGACAACTGTCGGTAAGATGACTTTTCTGGGGTACCACATAATGACATCTGTCTGCTTGTCTGCCGGCTGACATTTCGGAATGGGCGGGAAGAAAGTGCTTCTATGCCATCTTTGGTTAGGTCTTCATCTAATAATGTGGGCATTGTTTGTCCAACAAGTAAAAATCTTAAAAAGAAAAAGCTAGACTTATTCAAGGTCATTTCATACTATTTAAAATGATATGAATTGGGAAGAAAAATAAAAAGGATTGCCTTGCGAGACTAATGCAATACTTTTACGTACCTTGCAAGCTGTAGACAGATGGAATAAACACCCTGCCTTGTTTCATAGTCTACTTCTGATGGGATGGAATCCCTCTGCATGACATTTACAACCAAACTTCAAAGAAAAGAAAAAGGGAGGATTTTAAGACTTCTATTTCTTTCATAGGAAACTCTCTGTAAGTAACGTAATCACTCGTAAATGTCATTAATTACTTACAGTTTCTACAAGATTCTCATACAGCCAAAATATACCCAAGACAGAGTGTTCAGACAGTTCTCCTCACTAACTGGTTTGAGTTCACTGAACAATTGTTATCTTGATACTAGGAGAACTATCAAATCAAAAATCTATCCAGAATTGGTATATTCAATCAATGAATATTGTTTTTCACACCCAGTACACTCTATATCATTGCAAAAGCTCCCTCCTCACTGTTCTCCCTGCTTCCACTCTGGACCCTCCACCCTCCGAACCTATTCTCAAAAGAAAAACCAGAGTAATCTTGTAAAATATTAGTCAAATCATGGCACTCCTCTGCACAAAATCCTTCAATGGCTTCCTATTTCCTACACAGAAAGAGGCAATCTTCACAGTAGCCTGTAAAATCCTACATAACCCGACCTTTAGTATCTCTATAATATCATGGCCCAGCACCCTGCCTCACTTACTCTGTCCAACCACGCTGGCCTCCTGTGGTCTCCACAGGGACCTCCCCATGCAGGGGTGTAAACTGGATCTGGAAAGCCTTCCCCCAGGTGTCTGCAGGTCTTGCTCCATCTCCTTCTGGTCTTTGTACAATGTCAGCCCATCGGTAAAGCTTTTCCTGACCGTCCTATTGAAAATCACAACCCTCTCCACCCTTGCATCCTTTTACTTTTCTCTATAGCTCTTATCACCATCTGACATGTACTTTCACTTATTTTACTGCTTGTCTCCCCCTGTAGACTGTAAGCTTCATGAGGACGTGGATTTTTTTTTTTCCTTTTTGTCTTTTTTCGTGACTGGTAACGGGATTGCAACCCTCAGTGTCCCGCCTGTACCGCGACTGGCAACAGGATCGCAATCCTCGGTGTCGGACCGGTCTCTATATGGGATCCGAACCCTCGGCGGGAGCACCGCCGCGCTCCCAAGCGCCGCACTCTACTGAGTGTGCCACCGGGCCGGCCCAGGACGTGGATTTTGGTCTCATCTATTCACTAGTCTGTTCCCAGGGCTTAGAACAATGGCTGGCACACAAATTAACTGACACACAAATAAAACAAAAGTAAAATGCCATATTATCACAGCCCTAGAAATGCCCGATTATTATGAAATGAGTTTTTTCTTTCTTTTTTTTTTTTTCCTTTTTGTCTTTCTTCGTGACCGGTAACGGGATCGCAACCCTCGGTGTCGCGCCCGTACCGCGGCCGGCAATGGGATCACAACCCTCGGTGTCGCGCCCGCACCGCACTCAACCAGTGAGCGGACCGGTCTCTATATGGGATCTGAACCCTCAGCGGGAGTGCCGCCCTCTACTGAGTGCGCCACCGGGCAGGCCCTGAAATGAGTTTTTTCTAAGAACAGCTCTACAGTGTTGAACAAATAAAACTACACATGTGTACCAGACCACTGTTTGGGAATTCCTTTAGCTCTCATTTTCCTGTTTCCCATCACCTTCATCTCAACGTCCCCGCCCAGCTTCTCTTTCCTGCCAGACCTCCAAATAGGAGCTCCTTCAACTGTCCTTTGTTCAAGCTCCCAGTGGGCTACACTCCTTCCTTGCCCAGAGAAATTGCATGCCTACTTCTTTCCAGGGCAAATCTCCTTTCTACTACAGTAGAACTTAGCTCCATCAATTACCCTTTTTAAAAAATCTTTATTCTTTTCTCCTTCATCGGCCCCTTTTATTCAGCCTATAATGAGAATAATTCTTCCACAAGCTAACATCAAAACAGAAAAGTAAACTTTTCCCTTGGTTATTCTTCCCTTCAATCTCTTCAATCCCCTTTTCTCGCCCTTCTGAAGCAGAGACTTCTAGTACTGAGTCTACCTTCTACACCTGTCACTCTCTCTCTGCCAGCTGGCTTATGCCCCAAAGGCTGTACTTACACACTGAGGCCACTCCCAAATCTCTAATGCCATCCTCCACTTTTCTCACGAGCATGTATCCAAACCACCCACTTATAGGACCCACAGGAACTTCATATGCAATCAAATGTATTCCTCTTGGCTTCCTCTGCTTTCTCCATTTCCCTCCATGTTTATTTCCTATGCTGACTAAAGACTCACCATCCGCCCACTCTCCCAAACTAGAAAGCACAGGGCCACTTCACGAGTGTCCCTACCCCTCTATCTCACTAGCTGTAAAGTCTCAACTGCTGTATCTTGTAAATGTCACTCTGCCACTGCCCTGTCTCTGCGCCACTTTCACTGCTCTTAGGTTCTCCCTGCCCCTAGTTCCTTCCTCTTCCATTCATCTTCTCCACTACTGCTGAAGTAATTGTTCTAGGTAATTCCTGGCTTAGAAACTGCCTGTTTTTCTACAAGATAATGTTCAAGATTATTTGCTGTGACCTTTCTTTACATTTCTCTCCTTTATCCTTTGCTCTAGCCTCATCAGGAACTGTAGTTCCCAAGACTGCCCACACACCTTCATGCTTTCGTCCATCCCTCTCTCCACCCAGGCTCAGAGTGCCCTTTCCCTCTTTATCTACCTGGGGACTTTTTACTCATTTCTCAATTCCCAGCTCAAAGGTCATTTTCTGTGAAGCACTTCCTAACCTTATAACCTCAAGCAAATTTAACCAATTTAACCATTACTTTTTTTCCCCTCCTTCCCCTCCTCAGCACTTTTTATATGCCTCTGTTTTAATACTTATGATATGGGTAGGTAGCTGTTTGTTAATTCTTTGTTAAACCATGACCCTCTCAAGGACAGGGACAATATCTAATTTATTTTTGCATCCCCAGCACTAATGTCTTACAATATGGATTTGCTAGGAATCAAATTTACCTTATTTTAAGCTGATGGGGACTAAGAAAAAACAGATACAGCCTCCTCACCTCTACTCTTCTTGAGAATTTCCCCCCTACCAGAGGGAAGAGATATGCTTCTGTAAATTTTTCAAATAATCAAAAGTCATAAAGTAAATTAAAATATTTAAAGGACTGAAATATCATGCCTTCTTATTATAACTCTCAAAATGCTTTACATAACACCCTATAGGAATAAAAAAGGCTTTTAGAAGATACTAATAACTATACTCATTTTCTGCAGCTCACATAACATTACACTGAAACTCTAACCTCAAACCTCCTGCTTTGAGGAAGTTCTCACAGAAGGATTTTGCACAGCTTCGAGCCATGTCGTCATCAGCTGTTGGCATGAGTTTGGAGCTCAGAACCTAGGAAATAAATAAGCACAATTATTCATCTCCACATTTTCAGAAGAAATCACTCCTTTACCAAGTAAAATATTCAGACAATCCAAGTCAGAATCTCTCCATATGCTGCATACTGTCCCTCCAGCCCCCAAAGTACATGGAGGCTGATGCTTAACAATTAAAATCATCACATTTATCACCTTTTCCATATTCTATCTACTTAGGAAGAATAATCTTTCTGCTCTAAAGAAAGCCAGTGTGTTGTTCTTTTCATGAAAGTGGCAAATGTGAAAATCTCAGGTCCCAGGGTAAGATAAGAACAGATAACGTTACACTAGATATGTTCTTAAAAATGTATATAAACCAAAGTTTTATAGAATAGCCCAGATATTAAAAATGTGACATGAACTCCCTAATAATGACTGTAACTCCTATTTATTGAGTATCTACAATGTACTAGGCATATGTGCTTCACTTTATACCTGAGGGGACACTAAGACCTATGAGGTTGAGTGACATCCCACCCGAGGTCACATAGAATTCAAATCCAGATGTGTCAAATTCTAATATCCATGCCCCTTCTATGACACTGCAATACATAAAAGAAGCTTAACTGCAAATTTTGGTAGGGCAGATAATTGTTTCACATAAATAGTCATACTATAGTACAAGACTACAGATCTAGATCACATTCTAGTTTTACCGCCTACCAGCTAAGAGATCTTAGATATGTAATTTTCCCTTTTGCCTCAGTTTTCTCATTAGATAAATAAGGATAATAATGACCTTTACCAGAGGATTGCTTGGATTAAGTAAGATAACACAAGTTTACGATGCTTAGTGAAAGCACTGGCACAAAACAAGGGCTCAGTAAACAAACTGCTTCTTTTGTTGGTATGATTTAAAAATAAAAAAATCTCTTACTGCCTCAGTTTTAAGCTAGATATAGTTCAAAATCCTTTTCCATTCTAAAAAATCTATTTCTATGAACCTCTGAGCTTAATGAGCTTAGATTTTAGTGTGGGAGTTTTGTTTGCGATGCTTTCTGTCTAGGTTGCTCTCTGGGAAACAGGCTCAGTAGCCTCAGACACTGAGCATTACACAGGAGAAGGGGAGCCCTGTGTTCTTCTCATCCTTCCTGAGTGTATGCAGCTCTTCATCGACATGCACATACTCCCTACGCTTAATGGGCAACAATTCAGGGAAGATAACAGGTTTCTTCAAAGGAATGGGTATTTGGAATATCCACTTTGAAGTAGACAAACATAAGTTAACAAGTCAAAGGAAATTAGCCTTTCATGTGACAGCAAAAATAAATGCTTTGTGGAGGGTTAGGTTTTCCAAATATTATATGTATCTAAAGCAAAACACAGCCCATCAAAAGAATTCACAATTATTCAGAGTCCTAAAATTGTACTGGAGAGAAATAATTATACTGGAAATATGTTACTACTGTAGTACTTTGGCTCTAAGACAATGCAATCTAGGTAGTTGGTAACAAGTTATACACATTGTTGGACCATTCTGCTTTTCCAGATGCTCTCAAATGTGGGGATTAAGAATTATACCTTAACTTTTTTGAGATAATCATTCAAAAGCAAATGACAAATCTGGCAGCAACTGCAAGATGCAAATTTTATAACCTTAAATTGGCCAAAAATTCCTAGTCTATTTTCTGTTTTGAAATATTGTACATATTTTTAAATGTCCACATTAAATCAGAGCATGCTTTATTTTAAAAATATTTGCTAGATATTTTTTCCTTTGAACCCAATACATCTTTTCTCCTCCCCTTATGCTGCCGCAGCTGCCTCCAAGACTGCCAAGGCCATGCAGGGACGGGAGGGCTGCAGTGCAGGCGAGAGAGCTCAATACATCTTTTCACAAGAATAATTACTATAAGACACATATAAAATGTTATCACATCTTGAACATACAAGCAACAAGTATAGCAGAAAAAGGAATGAATATAATTTTATACTCCAAATTAGACTGACAGATAAAACATAACTTGGAAAAAATGTAGGTACCCTATTACCAATTATGACCTTTGTTGTCACTCAAAACCTACTCAAGATACATGACAATCAACATACATAATATCTACTTAAGATATGAGATACAATAATTAAGGTTGCTTAGGCACTGATGTGAATTCTTTAATAAATAAGTGCCTGGTGGGCCAGCCCCATGGCTCGCTTGGGAGAGTGCGGCACTGATAGCGCTGAGGCCGTGGGTTTGGATCCTATATAGGGACGGCCAGTGCGCTCACTGGCTGAACGTGGTGCAGACCACACCGTGCTGAGGGTTGTGATCCCCTTACCCGTCGGGAAAAAAAAAAAAAGTGCCTGGATATATCTTCCTAGGTCAAAGCAAAATCACTCAGGGCTTTATTTTCTCTAGACCTAAAGCAGCATGTGGTCTGACCCATCACTCTCCAAGACCAGAACTATTTCTATTTGGTCCCTTTCCCACAGTACTTTGTTTATGCTTTGCTTTCTAGACTCAGTGTATGCAGCCTCCTGTATGTCAACGTGGTGCAGACCACAGCGTGCTGAGGGTTGTGATCCCCTTTCCCGTCGGGAAAAAAAAAAAAAGTGCCTGGATATATCTTCCTAGGTCAAAGCAAAATCACTCAGGGCTTTATTTTCTCTAGACCTAAAGCAGCATGTGGTCTGACCCATCACTCTCCAAGACCAGAACTATTTCTATTTGGTCCCTTTCCCACAGTACTTTGTTTATGCTTTGCTTTCTAGACTCAGTGTATGCAGCCTCCTGTATGTCTTACTCATAAAATCTTGGAGCAAATATCTTGTCTTCTCAACTCTGACCCTCTAACTACCACGATGACTTGTAGACAATAAATAGTAAATATTTACTGAACTAAATCTATTAAAGTTACTTTGGGGAGAGGGGTAATTTCAATGGCCTAAATGTTTGTGTTTTCCCCAAAATTCATATTTTGAAATCCTAATCCCCACTGTGATGGTATTAGGAGGTGGGGCCTTTGAGAAGTGATTAGGTCATGAGGGTAGAGACCTCATGAATGGAATTAGTGCCCTTTTAAAAGAGACTCCAGAGAGCTCCCTTGCACTCTTTTAAGTGAGGACACAGTGAGAAGATGGCCGTCTATTAACTGGGAAGGGGCCCTCACCAGACACTGAATCTACCAGTACCTTGATCTTAGACTCCCCACCTCTAGAAATGTGAGAAATAAATGTCCTTTAAGCCTTGTGGTCTATGGTAATTTGTTATAGTAGCCCAACTGGACTAAAATAGTAATAAAAACAATCTTTTGCTCTAACTTTTGCAACAGCTTTTTTTTTTAACCTTGAAATAGTAATATTAACATGCCTCCTGATAAATTCCTCACAAACCTCATTAATAATCAACATATAATAGTTTTTTTAAAAAATTAGGATGCATTTAATCAAGATTAATAATTCATATTATATACACTTACGAAACTTCCAGAGGGAGACAATCACACATGTTTAACACGTCAAGTTTCCTAATTATTTATTTAGATGTTATTTTGTAAGTATAACAATGTATATAGACATACATTGAAAAAAATCAAGCATTTTCAAAGGCAAAAAAAATTTCAGTATATATTCCATTCTTTTAAAACTAATTTTCCAACAGATCATTCTGTAATAACAGAAAACTATTTACTTATTTCTGATATCTGAAAGCATAAATCTGCAAACCAATTGGATCTATCAAAAAGAAATGAAAAGGAACCAGGTTTCTTACTTCTAAGTTGTAGAGCACTCTGAAGGTGGACATTCCTGGAGCAAAAGATCGAAACAGACTTTCTAAAATTGAACTGGCGCTTGGCTGATGCTGCTGCTTTGAAGACAGGGATGGAGATTTTGAAGACTGAGAACTTGATTCAGACAGTAATGTCTTCTAAAAGAATGAACAAAGAAATACGTCTTAAAATCACAAATCAAAGAGAAACAGATCTCAGTACATATTCTAATATTCTTTTCCTCTTTAACACAAGCCACGAAAATGAAATTTTTTTTTTGTCTTTTTTGTAACCGGCCGCACTGCGCTCAGCCAGTGAGCGAACCGGCCATCCCTATATAGGATCCGAACCTGTGGCGGGAGTGCTGCCACGCTCCTAGCGCCGCACTCTCCCGAGTGTGCCACGGGGACGGCCCGAAAATGAAATTTAAAAAAAAAATTAATTTCATGAAGCCACATCACTCTGTAATTATAACAAAACATCAAACTTCATCATACAAATTCTAAGTATTCAATGACATTCAAACACTATATGAATTCTTTTCAGAATGTGTTCCATGCAACACCAGACAATGGCAAGGTCATTTTATTTCCATGTTTAAAATCTGTACTTCTAAATACCAACAATGAAAGTATGAAATTGCTGAAATGGTAGTCTTGAGAATTTTTTTTAGCTAATATGAGGATACTTCAAAAAGTTCATGGAGGGCCAGCCCGGTGGTGCACTGCTACAGTGCGCTGCTTGGGAGCGCGGTGGCACTCCCGCCGAGGGTTCGGATCCCACATACAGACCGGTTCCTGCTCACTGGCTGAGCGAGGTGCGGGTGCAGCGCTGAGGGTTGCGATCCCGTTGCCAGTCCCCGGTCCGGTACGGGCGCGACACTGAGGGTTGCGATCCGTTGCCGGTCACGAAAAAAGACAAAAAGGAAAAAAAAAAAAAAAGTTCATGGAAAGATTCGTATTATCTTTTAATTCTATTTTTCCACAAACTTGAAGTACCCTCGCATTAGTGATATATTTTATAATCACATTAGTTCTCTTGTCCCTCAAAACCCAACAGATGACATGACTGAGCTGATCTAAATTTTAGCCACTAAAATATAAAATACAACACTTAGTTTTAACAACTTTTTCTAAAGGAATTTACTCTGAGAACATAAACATAATTTCTACATATATATTATGAAATAAAATTTAAAAATTAAACAAAACGAACTTTAAATATAAAATGTGAAAAAAATTAAATGATAATCCATTTATACAAGCAACCAAGACACATACAACAGATTCCCAGGGGCATCATGACAGAAGAAAAACATCTCTAATGAATCAGACTGATCCTGGACAAGTAACTTCATCTCTTTGGGCTTCGGTTTCCTAATATACGAGTAGTCTTCAAAAAGTTAACATAAAGATTCATATTATCTTTTAATTCCATTTTTCCATGAACTCATTGGAGTACCCTTGCATAACATGAGGAGAAGAGTTGAAGTAGATGCTATGAAGGGCTCTCCCAGTTCTAAAATTTGATGACATTACTGACTCTACCTACATCCTTTAAAAGCCAACATGAAGTTCTGATGTCCATTTTTGGCAAAGATATTTTTCAAAAGAAGAAAAAATATTATGGGAAACCTGATATCACATGGCCTTAATGTGATTTCCTATTGTATTGTCACTGAATCATGATATACAATTCCCATGCTAGTGAAATAACTATTGAAGATACTCGTACCTTTCTTCCTAGGGAATCAAGTTGATCCAGGGCTTCCTGAATGGCTGGATCAGTGGGTATCAAGAGCAGAAGCTTTCGTACTCGTAGAGTTATCCTGAAATTTTTCAAATATACATTTTTTTCACATAAGCCACAGTTCTAATAACAAAGTCATTTTGTACGGGATGTAAAGTAAAATATATTTTAAGTGAAAAGTTACTTGGTTCCCTAACTTTAATAACTTTCTCTCATTCAAGCCTCACATTATTTATCTTTACCTTGGCTCCTCTAGATTGGCAAGCTGGTAAAGCATGTCAAACACATTACATACAAGTGCCATCACAACACCAGGGAGGGATTTCTCCTGGGGGAAAAGAGCAAAACAGAAATATGAATTTACAAAAGAATTTTCTCCTCTTCTAATCACACTTACAAATAATAAAAATACTAGTTCTGGAAGGCTCGCCACCACAAAGCCTGGGGAAGCATAGTGCTCGTGTGCACTGAAGAAACCCACATGGGAGCACACAGGGATCACGACTTCCTAGTGCATATGACCTGGTCTCTTCTCCTCACCCCCTACTGGTGAAGAGGCTGAGGCACCACAAGGCAGGTGGCAGGAGAGAGATGAGACAAAGGGCATATGCAGTGAGCGTAAGGGGGAGCAGGCACCACTGACAGATAATCACAGCTCGGCTGCAGCGCGCAGGGTATGAATGATTTGCGGCAAAATTAAAGTAGTACGTATACATATATATACCTTCACACGCAACACATGATATATGTAATTTAAGTTGAGAAAAAGAAGTTATCCTGTTTTTTAAAGATCAGAAAAGACAAAATGAATATAACTGCATAGAAGAGATTCAGATATGATTAATGTACTATTTTCTGGCTATAAAGATCAAGAAGCTAAACACCATTATAGAATGATTTATATGTGGGAAGATTTTTAATGAATTTGGGATAAAAATGAGATAGGTTAAAAATATTAAACTTGAAGATGCTTATGAACATTGTTTTTGTTATTTAACGGTCATAATACCACTTTCAGTGGGATTTCTTTCTTAAATTCTTATTATATATACATACAGATATACTTAATAAAACCCAACAATATTAACACTATACTCGAAGAGTTCTTTGATACCTATCTATATAGCAAGGCTATGCTTGTAAGTTGAAAAGACACAGTCACATAAAGATCTTACATTTGGAACTAAATTAAAGGAATATACATATAATTATTTATTGTCTTCTTTCTATATATATGTATAAAAACATATACATAGTAACCATGAAAAAAAACTCTGTACACGTATCTTAAATACCTTTACTGTATATTAGCTTACTTTCTAAATTGTAAAAGCCCGAAGAGCAGAACAGTCTTACTCAGCTTTGTACCTCTGGAGCCAGGCTCAGTTCTGACACAGGTACAAAATAAATAAACTGATTGATTCATGAAGTCCTTCAAATACTGTCTGAGCACCTGTCATGTTCTAGGCACTGTTTCAAGTGTTGGGGATGCAGCAGTGAACAAAACAGACAAAAGTCTGTTCTGATGGAGCTTACATTTTACTAGGGGATACAGATGAACAAGACAAATAAAATATGAAGTATGTTAATGACAAAATTAAGTAGGAAAGGTAAATGAGAAGTGGACGGGGAGGGCTGGGGTTGAAAACTTAGACAGGATCATCAAAGAAGGCTCTCTGAGAAGGCAACATTTGAGTAAAAACTGAAGAAAGTGAGGGAGCCACCTGGATGTCAGGAAAGAACATTCTAGGCACAGGGAAGAGCAAGTGCACAGGTCCTACTGTGTCTGAGGACCAACCTGGAGGTCAGTGCATCTGGAGAGGTGTGGGTGAGGGGAGGGTCACAGGAGATGGCCTCAGAGAGGTTCCAGAGGGACACATTAGGTAGGCCCTGAAGATCCCAGTAAAGACTTTGGCTCTTATTCTGAGTGAGATGGGAACAATGGAGCATTTGAAGCCGAGGAGTAGCACAACCTGCCTTATGTTTAGTAAGATCATGGGCTGCTGGGTGCCCTGTAGGGATGAGACTGCATTGCTATAAGAGCAGAAGCTATGAGACCAGTTAGGGAACTATCAAAAAACTCCAGGTGAGGTAGCATAGTTGCCTAGACTGGTGTGGAAGCTGTGGAGGGAGACAGAAGTAGCTGGATTTGGATGTATGTTAAAGGTAGAGTCAAGGATTTGCAGATGCATATGGCTGTAAGAGAAAGGATAGACTCAAAGATTCTGGCATGAACAACTAGAAGAATGGAGATGCTATTCTCAGAGACAGAACAAGATGAGGATAAAGAAGTTTGGAGTGGGGATGAGGAGGTGGGAAAAGGGATATCAGGAGCTCACTCTTGGATATATTATAATTGGGGTGCCTAGAAGACATTTAAGAAGAGAAGCTGAATAAGTAGATGGATCCATATATTTGGACTTCAGGCTAATGATAAAAATTGGGGAGTTATCAATGTACATGTGATATGTAAAGCTTTGAGACCGGATGAGATTACTAAGGGAATGAATGTAGACAGAGAAATCCAAGGACTGGGCCAGGGAACTGCTCTGTATAGAGATCATGAAGACCAAGAGCAGACAAAACTAGAACAGGCAGAGAGGCAGGGAAAAGGAAAAGAGCCTGACTCTTTCCAAGAGAGGGCAAGAGAGGATGGCAAAAGAGATGCTGGAAACAAGTTTAGACAACTCTTGCAAGCAGTTTGGTTGATTTGGGGAGAGAGTGAATGGGATAGTAACCAAAGGTAGAATTGGCATGAAGAGGTTTTTTTAAGATGACAAAAATAACACAACCAGTTTGAATACTAATGGGAATGACCCAGTAGGGAGGGAAAAATCAATGAATCAATGAAGAGAGATGTACGAGAGGACAGTGAGTGTCCAGGCAGAATGATTCAGTGATTCCAAAGGTTCTATGATTAAGAAGACTGATAAATTATACATCTTCTTCTCCCAATTGAATCCAAGCATTTCTCAGTTATACAGTTCTGAAGATCAGAACTTATCAGAAAGAAAAGAACATAATCACCCAAATCCATATGGCCTGAGAGCAAAAAGGTAATGATTGTTAAATTCTTCTTTTGAATTGAAATTTATCACTTAGTACCTGCTCCATGGCATAGGATGAACTAAAAACACCACTGCTGCTGCTGCTGGAGCTGGTTGATGAATCTGCTGAGCTCCCAGATGGGGTCCCACTGCCAGAAGTCTTTACTGTAAGGACTTGTTCATCAGAAAAGCCCAGTTGGTGGAGTAGCTTTTGATCTTTATTCACTGTCAGCTGCAAAAAATGGTTTCTTAATTATTGAAAGGGAAAGGAAGGGGAAAGTATTTATATCATGCCAAAGTACCAAAAACTGTTTATTTAGACCTACCAGACTATCATTTGTAAATATCTGTATATTATCCACAGGAGAGCACAACTGCTTGGCTATCTTCCACCGAACACTCCCTATGGTTTCATTACTGTGAGCCTGTAAAATAAAATTAGACACTGTTGTGAGATAATTTACTTATTCATTGAAACAACCATTAGTGAACATCTTCTATGTACCAGGCACTGTTCTAGAAGCTTGGAACACAACAGAAAACCCAAAGACAAGAATCTGCTCTTGCAAGGCTTCCCTCCTACTGCAATTAAATGTTCTATCCCATGCTCCAATCCCGCCCCATCATGCGTGGAGTAAAGTCTCAAGTCCTTCCTCTGCTGTATCTTCCACTCCTCCCCTTTCTCTCTGTGCTGTACTCACACCAGCCACCTTGCTTGCCTTTGTGCCTGATGCTCTCTTTGCCTGGAATGTTCTTCCAAGCAAACATCATTTACTCTGTCATTTTATTCAAGTATTTGCTCAAATGTCACCACCTGAGAGAGACCTTCCCTGTTCATCTTTATCTAAAAAATTTCATACATATCCATCATCCTCTACCAAATTATCTTGCTTTACTCTTACTTATTCTTATAACACTTAGTACCACATGACACTATACTATATATTTATTTATACATCTTCTTGTATCTCATAGTTTCGTTTCATTTCAGGCCTTGATTCTAAATTTGTTTACCAAACAAATCTTAGAACCATCATTCACGTAGCTATCTCAGTCAAGACTGTTCTTTATATATTTTTTTTCCTTTTTGTCTTTTTTACTGACCGGTAATGGGATCGCAACCCTCGGTGTCGCGCCCATACTGGGGACCGGCAACGGGATCGCAACCCTCGGTGTTGCGCCCACACCGCGCTCAGCCAGTGAGCGGGAACCGGTCTCCACATGGGATCCAAACCCTCGGCGGGAGCGCCTCCGTGCTCCCAAGCGGCACACTCTCCAGTGCGCCACCGGGCCAGCCCAAGACTGTTCTTAAGAAAACAACAAGGCAACATGAAAATGGCTACAGAACTTAATGTAAACCTACCTCTACAGTGAAGGTGTCTTTGGTAGACTCATAGGTAACATTAAGAGTTAAAAGATGTCCATGAAATGAGGCACCATGAGGTAGAATGCCCGCACCGCGCTCAGCCAGTGAGCGGGAACCGGTCTCCACATGGGATCCAAACCCTCGGCGGGAGCGCCTCCGTGCTCCCAAGCGGCACACTCTCCAGTGCGCCACCGGGCCAGCCCAAGACTGTTCTTAAGAAAACAACAAGGCAACATGAAAATGGCTACAGAACTTAATGTAAACCTACCTCTACAGTGAAGGTGTCTTTGGTAGACTCATAGGTAACATTAAGAGTTAAAAGATGTCCATGAAATGAGGCACCATGAGGTAGAATAGTTCGTGGAACAGAGTAAAAATCCTTGAAAAAGATTAAGGCAAACGAGTCAGATGCACAGTGCCACCGTTAAACATGTCAAAAACACACACCTAACATATTTAGTCTGGTAACGTGATGAGTGAAATTGCTTTAAAAAGAAGAGAGGCTAACCTCTATAGTGATCACATAGCGTTCTGCCAGAAGCAGCAATCTCTCAATTATTACAAGTTTAGTGGATCTGTGGATTGAAAAATAAAAAGGTTTTAAATGTATTTGAAACCAATTGCTGATTTGAGCTCAATTCTAGCCTGGTTCACTAAAACCACAATCACAGTTAGCACTTACTGGTCAAAGACTGAAATTTGCAAAGATTAAACTTCCCTTCACCCAGTGGGGAAAATGGTTCAACCAGCTCACAACTCTGGCACAGATGGAATAAGGGAGGAGAAAAGTATGCCCCTCCCCACATTTCCTTTCTTCTTTTCTTAAACAGCTGGGAACCTAGGTCTCCAGGCCTATTTGTCCATCAATCCACCAAGAACGAACAATCGATGAGTTTGACTCTCATGATCTTACAACTAAAATATGCCACAGAATTCTGTAAAAACATGGAATCTGACAAAGTTCTAAACTGCCTGAAAATTAGAAGACAAATGCAAACCAGTAATTTTACCACAAATAAAAGTTACTGTTTGAAAATGACATCTGAGGTCTCTTTTAGTCAAAGACTTATGGAATCTTACCTATCATGTGAAATAACAGGACTGCAACATTCAGCAGCTTATACAGTCACAGCTCCTTTCTTTATTAAAGAGAACACTACAGGTATTAACGTTAAGAAATGAAAATCTAAGTGCTCTTAATTTAAGTATTTGCTATTCCAGAAAGTCTAGTTATTTCAAATAGGTATATTTTTAAAACTGAGAAGAGGTACTACCATTTTCCAACAATTGGTCTGGAATGCTGGTTAGCAATAATGGAAATTTCACTTTAAAACAGTTGGTTAAAAACATTTTAATAGTTCTATTAAAATACCTTTAACAGAGCTCTAAGTTCTTCCAATCTATGTGCAAGAACTAGAACTTGAAATTCAGATGAAAAATCTTTAGGAAATATCTAAGTGCTGTAATAAGTGAGCGAATTATTGAGTGAACTGTTTTAATTATGCTTTAATAATGAATTAAGTCACAGATACCATTGCAAAACACTGTACAGATGAGAGACTAACCCCTTCCGCCAAATAAGCTAGAACTATTATGGATACTAAAAAGTTCTTTCAAAACTAGTGAAATAAGATATACTACTACAATGTTTTGATTCAAATTCAACTTTGAAATTATACATTCTCATGAACTATTGATAGTTTGTAACGAGAATATTTTAAAGTTTAATGTGGTCTTTCTCTGTCGTCAGCCACATGTGAAATGATTCAGAATAAAAATCACTTAGTGAGATGTTTTGATTCAAATTCAACTTTGAAATTATACATTCTCATGAACTATTGATAGTTTGTAATGAGAATATTTTAAAGTTTAATGTGGTCTTTCTCTGTCGTCAGCCACATGTGAAATGATTCAGAATAAAAATCACTTAGTGAGAAAAAAACAAAAAGCACACTTGTTTAAAGAGGTAGCAATCTGGAAATCCCAATCCAATAGCTCATAAATTCATTTCTGTTCTGATTTATCAGATAAATGAATCATCAAGGAATGGACTCACAGAGATGGACTACATCTTACAAACACATAATTAGGAATTCTTAATATGCATGAAAGCCTATTTGAGATATGTTTCCAAGAATGTGGAAATGTGGAAGTCATGTCAGCGTTCTTATGACTTGAACTGACAGTCACTTCTGTTATTTAAAAATGAAGTCTGAGAGAGCTGAGTTTTATTGGCTTCCTTCATATCAATAAAGTATATCTACATAGTACTCAACTCATGTAAAAAAGAAGATAAAAAAGAAGAATGTGGCTTTGCTTCCATTTTAAAGGAAGGCTATAAAAAGAAAAGGAATATGCCCAATTGCGAATAAAAATAAGTAAAAACAAACTCATTCCAGAAGTTGAGAAAGACTGGACAAGTACCCACCACTAGAGGGCAGAAGAGTCCAGGCACAGAGATCAAGCTCTTTCTGAGCACCCACCAAGGTTCCTCAGCATCAGTGGTTTGGGGCTGCTTACCAGTAACGAAAGGCTCATAAAACCCCACGAAAATGTTTTAGTTCCTTCAATCTAATGTTCCTAAATATGCACTGTTTCTCCTTACGATATCAAAGAACTACAGCATACTAAAGTACACTATAGAATACTAAACTCAGATTTCCCTGATAATATCTGAAAACCCTCAACACAGCAATGTGAATAAGAGACAATGTCAGTTCAAAGCTTTAACACAAATATTTGGGGAAAAAGTTCTCACTAATCATTCCAAAAAATAATTTTCATTAAATTATATATATATATATATATATATATATATTTTTTTTTTTTCCTTTTTGTCTTTTTTCGTGACTGGCAACGGATCGCAACCCTCAGTGTCGCGCCCGTACTGGACCGGGA